TTTCTATAGTGAGCAAAGAATCTCTGATAAGTGAACATATCAATAAATACAACCTAAACCAAAAGTATGTTCTGCTCATCTTGGTCAAACAATAATAAATATCCCTTTTTTTGGGGGGGGGGTACTGAGGATTAAACCCAGGGATGCTAAACCACGAGACACATCCCTAGTTCTTTTTAGTTTTTATTTTGAGACAGGGCCTCACTAAATTGCTGAGGCTGTCTTTGAACTTGTGATCCTCCTGCCTCAGGCTCCTAAGCCACTAGGATTGTAGGTATGCGCCACCCACCTGGCTCTATATGTTTTTGACAACATATATTCTCTAATTGATAGTTTCTTCTAAGAATCTTTCTTTTTCATTACCATCCCACTGTGCTAGGTATCCAACCCAGCTTTGGGCATTCTAAGCAAGTGCTGTTCTACTGATCTATATCCCCCAGACCTGTGATTCTGCTTCTTATCCTCTGGGGTTATGTCAACTGTGGAGTTGAATAGTAGTGTACTGTGGGGCAGGAGGGAAGTGCTTTGCTTCTCCTACAAGAGTGAGGTATGCTTTCTTGCTAAAGTAAATGTTTCTGTGGGATTACATTCGGTGTTTTTATATCCTCTGAATATTCCCAGACATCATTGATCCAATTGACAAAATTCTACCCTATTCTGAGATGGGGTGAGATTGTGAATTCAGCTACTGGTGAATTCAGAAATTTTACAGAATTAATCTCTGAGTTTATTTTTAAACAAACTCAATGGATTTGAGCTGTAAGGAGATTCCTACACAGTAATAGAAAGGTCATCCATGCCCTGAGGTAAGAAGATTTAAACTATCTTCTTCTAGCTTTAAAAGGTGTCCACTGATGCACAAAGACTGTTATTTTCCCATTCCAGCACAGGAACAGGCATTTCAATGCTCTTCCCCAATCTCACCTTCATAACAACTTTTAAAAGAAAACCCTCAGTTCTTGGGGAGGGGAGAGCCCATCCATATCCTTCACCATTTTCTCTAGTGAGAACATCTGCATCTGTTTGGGTCTCTGACTGCTAGCAACAGAAACCAGCTCTGACTTGCACAAGAACCAAAGGTGCCAGAGTAGCTCATGGGTCTGAAGGAAGCCCTGGAAAACAGGGCTAAGGGAAGATGGTAACTAGGTCAGCTAAGGACTGTGGCCTCGGGACCCTTGCAGGCCATCACCCGAGATGTTCCCTTCTCATAATTCAAACCTGACTCCCTTGTGTGACTATGGTTTCTACTCCAGAAAGACAGGCTTAGCACTGGTCATATGTCTTCCTGAGGCCAGGGTAGCAGGAGTGCCATGAGACCCAGGAGGCGTGATTTCTTCTCCCCTCTCATCCCCCTAAAGAGGCATATACTTCTAAAAAATGGTTTGTAGAGAATACAAAGTAGGAGAGTCCTGGCTTTTTCTGTGTGCCAGATAGAACCTGCTGGAAATGTTACAGGCGGCTCTTAGCACAAGTGTTGTTGCCCTGGAGAGGCCTTACACTGGACCCCAGCGGCTTTGATGCATGTCACTAACCTGGCGAATCTATCCTAGGGCAGGCTGTGGGCCACACTTTTGTAACTTGATGCTCTCAGTACCTTGAGCTGATCAAACACAAGGAGACTGCCTCATTCTGGTTAAATTTACAAGAAAATGGAACTTGCACACTAAAACTCATTTTGCTCATTTTCAATGAGAAACGGAACCATTCCGTGGACTGGAACAAAATTCTTGGTTACTTCTGAACTGAAGGGGAGCCAAATTATCAGGTTTGGTGGGCTTAGAACAAGTCCAACAAGCCTCTGATGTTTTACTAAGTTGCCTCATTTTTTAAAAAAAATATTTTTACTAATATTTTTGGACTGCCTATAATATGTGATAATTGTATTGCTGTGTTTCTAACAGTGAACAGGACAGATATATAATCCTCCCTCAGGGAGCTTATAGTTTACTGGAGGAGACAAACATTAACAAATACACCAATAAATGTATGATGGCAAATACAGAAGAAATAAGTGCTATAAAGTAGAAAAAACTAATCAGGGTGGAATCTAATTCTGATTGGGGGGGTCTTGGGAGCCTCCCCGAGCTTGACATTTGAGCTAAGATCAGAAAGTTAATGGTCAGCCAGGCACATTGATAACTCAGGAGGCAGGGGGGTCACAAGGCTGAGACCAGCCAGAGCAACTTAGTAAGACCTTATCTCAAAATAAAAAGGGCTGGGGGTGTGTCTCAGTGGCAGAGCACTCCTAAGTTCAATTCCCAGTACCACACAAAAAAAGAAATCACTCCCCCTTTGTTGCTCGCTTATTTGGACTGTACTTAGAGAGGAAAGACTTAGAGAGGAAATTCTCCTCCTTCTACTCCAGGCACTGCCCAAAGGGGCATATCCCACTCAACTGGGACAAATTTGAGCTCCATTGTGTGAGACTAATAGATTTTTGAGACCAAGTTACTCTCTTAAGGGAGGCTCTTGGGGGTACAGCTGCCCTGACTTCTGAGTGGGAGGCGCCCCCTACTGGTAGCCAGAGGTCTTGGAATCTCACCTCCCTGATTATCAGAGATGTCTCTATCTTATTTCCAAAGGGTGGGTCTCAGCCACTGTGTACACATAGTCTCAGGATGCACCACGCAGGGGGATGAAGGACCCTCACTGTGGAATGGAGGCACAGACATGGATGGTAAAGTTACAGCAGATCATGAATATATGGATTTCTAAGCTGAGGTAGTGGTCTAGCCAATTACTCTGGCCACTGGCTTTTATTGGTTACAGTACTATTTCCAGGCTCAGTTTGGGACACATCTCCATGAATTCAATCAGCTGACAGTTCTGACCAAATTAAATACCCTGGTTTCCCACTAAGCCTCTTTGGTTTCACCAAACCTCTGACAGATTCTTGGAACAGGCTGCCCTCCCCGGGCCCTCCCTGAGGCTCCTGAAGCAAGCGGATCCTATGGGGAAGGAACCCTACCTTGTCATGGGCCTATGCCACAGAAGCCTGTGCCTGCTTCCAGCAATCAGTCCTTACCAATAGTGCCAACAGTCCCTTGCTGGCACTCTGCCCAGACCCGTTATTGAGGACACTCATTTGCCAGGAGCTGCAAGAGAATAGGTAACAGCTCACAGCTGCCCTTATTTGAAGCATTGCCCTGGACCAAATGGAAATTACCTTACTTGGAGGCAAAATTCACTCCCACCCTTCGCCCATTGTTGGTACATGATTGGCAAAGAGTATGAGAGGCTGGCCTGGCCTGGTGTCACCTCAAGGAGGGACTATCTCCATGGCAAGTTTGCACTGCAAAATTTCCCTGTGGGATCAGACGATGAAAGCCAGGCTATAGCAGAGAACAAACTCTTGCTTCTTACCCTCTCCTTATTCTGTCTCCCTCACTCCCTCTGCCAAAGGCCCTCCCCTAATATATCACTTAAATAAGATTTCCCATCTCAGGCTGAAGAATCTGCCTCAGATCCATCAGATATCCTTCTATGTTGACTCTTGAGGACAAAATTTTCACTGCAGTTATCAAGGCAAAGCAAATGTTCTTGGAGCAGTTGGATTCCTAATTTAGGATATTAGCCTGACTGTCTAGTAAGTCAGCTACTGCAGCATTCACACTGGGTCTTATGCAGAAGTCAATCAGGCACTGTCCCAAGCTACAGGAATTTTGACCAGAAAACACAATTCCAAACACTGGCCCAGAATCCAGCTAGCCAAGCAGCCTGAGATGGCTACATGGGGTAGTCATATCAAGTGCCAGCTCAGAGCTTACAAATACCAGCATGTAGCATGGCACTTCCTAGTTCTACCTCAGTCTGTTCAATTTATCAATAGTTGCTTCTTTAAGGTACTGGTTCCCTTATCACACGCTTTCATGGAGGGCAGGTATGAAAAAGGGTGGCTGGTACCTACCTCACTGAGCTATTGTGAGGATTTATTGAGATAGTTCAGGTAAAGATTTTAGCACAAAGCCTGTCATCTACCCAGCTCTCAGATGTGCCAGTTGTGTCATCATCTCTCGGGACTTCAGGATTCGTCTCTGGGCCCACACACATTCTGCTCTTCTCCTCCATGCTGGGAGCCCTGCTGTTTCTCCATTCCCTGCAAGTGGGTGGTTGGCAAAGATCTCTGCCCAAACTCCTGAATACTGACTTCCCAGCTCCTGTCCTTTTTGAAAACAGTCATCTCTGCCCTTGGAATGGAGGACTGGTGGGATCCAATAGGAAACTGCTGCAGTGGAGGCTCCTGGCACATGAGCTGGCCAATGGTTTGCTCCTGTGATGGGGCAAATTCTCCTACAAATCCCCACAGTCACAGAACTCACGGAAATGCACACAATCTTTAGAATAATTAAACTTGCTTCTACAGCATGGTGAAGTGGGAAGGAGTGTTTCAAAATGAGTCATGGGATCTAACTGGCAGGTTCATAAGGAAGAACAGTTGGTACTACTGAGAGTAAAATAGAACAAGAGATGTGGATGTGCCTTTGATCCTTTGCCATATTATTATTGGTGGAATTCCACCAGGGTGGAAGGAGAAAGGATATACCTAGAAAGTTCCTGTTATGGTTTGGATATTAGGGTGTCCCCCAAAAGCTCATGTGTGAGACAATGCAAGAAAGTTTAGAGGTGAAATGATTGGGTTATGAGAGGCGTAACTCAATCAGTGTGTTAGTCCCCTGATAGGGATTAACTGGTGACTGTAGGCAAGTAGGGTGTGGCTGGAGAAGGTGGGTCATTGGGGGCCCACCTTTGGGATATATATTTTGTGAGCTGGGCTTAGTCTCTCTCTCCCTCTCTCTCTCTGCTTCCTGGTGGGATGTCCTGAGCCACACCCTTCTGTCAAGATGTTCTGCCTCACTTTATAGCCCTGAGGAATGGAGCCAGCTGTTTATGGACTGAGACCTCTGAAGCCATGAGACCCTCAAATAAACTCTTCATCATCTAAAATTATTCTTGTCAGGTCTTTTGGTTGCAGCAAAGAAAAAACTGACAAAGCAGTTACAATGCCTGTTCGATGTGACACTCAAAGGTATCCATTTTTGTCCCTCCTAACAATTGTATTTCATTTGTGACACCCACTCATCTATATATTCAGTGCGAACACTGCTGGCTTTAGGAACTTCATTTTCTTAGCTCTTCCCAGGTGCCTAAGTCCTGTTTATGGCAACCTTGGTTAAAAAAAAAAAAAACAACTTGGTTTTGCACTAAGGCTCAGTGGGTGTCGTCACATCAGATTACTTCTCTGATGGGAAAAAAAATGGAACAATCAAGAAAAAATTTCTTATATAAACTAAATCAACTTATCAACAGCGACTCTATGTTGAGTTCTTAGCCAATAAGAGAACTGGTCTTATTAATTAGGTAAAAAATGAATAGCCCCATATCCCTTGCTAATGGCTAGAGGAAAATGATGCACTCAGAAGGAGGATACGCCTTTGGTATAAACCCCATAGAAGCCAGGGACATCGTCCTGGAACCCAACAAGATGTTGTGAATTAAGACCTACCTGGGTTTGTAGGTTATCTTAATCTGGATCAAACTGAAAAATAAATATTTCAATGTCTCGCTCTGTCAGTCAGATTTTTGTCGCTATGATTTTGCCTGACAACAAAAACTTAGGGGAGGAAAAATGTATTTTGAGCTCATGGTTTCAGAGGTTAAGTCCATGGTCGGCCAACTCCCTTGCTCTAGTCCACAGTGAGGCAGAACATCATGGTGGGAGTTTGTGGCAAATGAAAGCTGCTCAGCTCGTGGTATCAAGGAAGCAGAGAGAGTGTGCAGAATGCCAAGAACAATATATAAATCTCAAGGGCACATCCCCAGTGACCTACTTCCTCCAGTCATGCCTCACCTGTCTATAAGTATCACCCAGTAGTCCATTCAAATTATTAATTCATCAAATGGATTAATCCACTGATGAGGTTACCACTCTCACCATTGCCTAAAAGCTTATCTCTGTTCCTCACTGTATCAGGGACCATGCTTCCAATACATGAGCTTTCTGAGCAATATCAAAGATCTAACCTTAAAATTCAGTATATACAGAGCAAATATGAGATGGAGAGGCAGGAGGGATAGAAGGTAAAACAAGAAGAACAAGGGAAATATTCTTTACAAAGCAGCAACCAACTAAATATTTGGAAATAGTGATGTCTGAACTTCTTGGGTAAACTTCCCTGATTGGTGGCCTTGAATTGTCATGGGTATGCAGGTGTCCTTATTCTACCAGCCCTCCACTGTTGTTGAGGTAGATGAGCCCCAGACTCATCCTTTCATTCTGTGTTGTATTATGGCCATTAATGTCCATCTGTTCCCAATGAGTAGAAAGGGTCAAGGGGCAGAGTACATCTGGGAACCCTGGGATAATCATACCAAGCAGGCTGAGAGTGGGGGGCGGGGGTCTGCCTTATGTGTATTATTAGAATGCTTCTTTCCCTGCAAACACCTGCACTTATATAGTTGCTAAAAGAGTATCATGCTGTAAGACTTGGAATAATCCATTCCTGAAAGAAAATTTATTATGATTTACAAGCAGAGAGTATAAAAGCCTAAGCTATTTCTTCAGTCTTTGTGTTTTGTTCATGTCATAAATTTTTTTTGAATAGAGGGATTGTATCTTGTCCCTGGCTCCTTTTGTACACTCTCTCTGCTTCCTAGTTACCCTGGACTGAGCAACTCTCCTCCACCCTGCCCTTCTGCCCTGATGTTCTGCCTGACTTCCAACCCAGAGCAATGGAGTTGGACAACCATGGACAGAACCTCTGAAACCACAAACCCCCAAAAGCTTAATATTTTTTTAATATTTCTGCTATGTACTGTAGTTGAAATAGATCCCTTCTTGTTATAAGGCTCTGCTACAATGAACAGGATATTTTTCTAATTAGTAAGTGAAACATACTAATTTCTAGTTAGTAAGTGAAACTTCCTCTTTCATAACTGAAAGAGGCAGATTTTTTTTAAATTTTTTTTTAGTTGTAAATGGAAACAACACCTTTATTTCATTTATTTTTAATGTGGTGCTGGGGATCGAACCCAGTACCTCACATGTGCTAAGCAAGTGCTCTACCACTGAGCTACAACCCCAGGCCGAGGCAGACATCATTTTTAAAATGAGAACAACAAAATTGTACTAGGCTTTTATTCTGACAATATTCCCAGGCTTAAGGAGAGAAGAATGACAAGGTTATACTCATGAACTTTGAGCCTGTCTATTTGTCCACTGATAGGACACCTGAATCAACACAATGAAAGAGATGACACTGGCAAAAAGCCAAGAAATAAGCGTAGGCAAAGTCGTGAGAAGAAAATCAAAAGATGGCTGAACAATCCTGATGATGTCTGCCTCTTAGAGTGCTGAGTGTTTTATTCACTATTTATAAAAAAAATATGTATCCTGTTTATTAAAGCAGCCTGGTAAGGTAAAAGGATCCTTTCCAATTCTTTGGCTAAGAATTTCCCTAACACAGGAGATGGTCAGATAATCAGTCGCCTCTGAAGAGAGGCACAGGGATGGGAGAGGTGGAACAGCCCCTTCACTATTAACCCTTCTAAGTGTTGGGGTACTTGTTTGTGTTTTTGGTTTGTTTTTATTTTTGTTCTTTGTGCTGGGGCTTGAAGCCAGGGCCTTGTGCATGCTACTGAACTATAACCCAAAGTGCTGTTTTGATGACAGGGAGGCTATATATATGTATTCATGTGGTCCTGTCCTCATCCTGGCCCTGTCCTGTACTTCACTAGTCCCTCTGGGTCGACTGGGTATCAGAGGTCATCTCCTCGGGAAGTATGCCACATAGGGGGTCATTGAGGTACTGAGGCCACTCAGCTGGATGGGTAGGAGCAGGACACCCACTTCAGCTCTTGGTCTTCTCCTGGGGAGTCTCAGTCCTCATCTCTCCAGCCTCCCAGTTGCCGGCGCTGGGTTTTCAGCCAAATGCTACCTAAAAAGAGTTTGGCTTCACAAGGCCTGGGATCCCTGCCGGCCACTAGTCCATGAGGGGAGAAGCAGGGAATAGGCACTGGTCCCCTGACTTGGAGAGGGGTCCAGTGTGTTAAGATGCCCTCAGGGGGCCGAAGGTGTAGCTCAGTGGTAGAGTGCTTGCCTTGCATGCACAAGGCCCTGGATTCAACCCCCAGCACCACAAAAAAAAAAAAAAGAAGAAGAAGAAGAAGATGGCCTCAGGTGCTGGGCTCTCTCTCAAGCATGTCATTTAATTCTCCGAGGTACTTTACCTACCTTCACCAGCTCACAGATGAGGAATCAAGTTAACTTGGAGAGTCTGGAGTGAGTGAATCTCACTTAGAACATAGAACTTAGGGCACTGTGCTCCAGGTTCATCCCATGAACACATAGCCTGTTGGACTCTTGTTCTAGAGATCAGGCCCATGAAGCTGCAATGAATGTTTTGAAACCAACCTGGTTGCCACTGGATACACTGGCTTCCCTCTGAGCACCAACAGACACCAAGGGGGGACGGGAGGGGAGGATGACAGGAGGAAGGGGCGACAGGAGGAGCTGGAAGGGGCAGAGGTGGAGAAGTTAATTAGTATAGTCCTTTGCCCTTCATTGGGGCTCAAGGAGGCCCCCTCTTAGGCAGCTTTGAGTCCATCTGTGTCTTGCTCAAGGTAAACAATCGGTCTACCATCAAGGGGACATGTGGCCCCATCAATGTGAGTGGACACGTTGTGAATCTCTGTTGGAAAATGAATAACAGAAAATTGTATACAGTTAGGGGGAAAATAGGTGGGAAATTCCATGTACTCAATAATCCTTATCTGTGGAAGGCCTCAGATTAGGGGGATTTTAATGCTTTCTGTATTTTTCTATAAGATTTAAATGTATGTGTCATTACTTCGGTAATTAGATTTTTTAATTTTTTGTATTGGGGACTGAACCCACAGTGCTTTTCCACTGAGTTATATCTCCAGCCCCACCCCCACACACATGCCTTTAAAAATTTATTTCATTTTAAGATAGGGTCTCCCTAAAGTTACCCAGGCGGACTCAAACTTGCAATCTTCCTGCTTCAAAACCACCCCCCTCCTCAGTCCCCAATAGCTGGGGTTACAGGTATGCACCATTGAGCCCAGCTAATGTTTTGGTAATTAGAATGAAAGAGAAAAAGAAGCCAGGTGCAGTGGCATGTGCCCAGCAACCCAGGAGGCTGAAACCGGAGAATCGCAGGGTTGAGGCCAACCTCAGCAATTTAGTAAGACCCTGTCTCAAAATAAAAAATAAAAAGTGCCAGGAATCTCACTCAGTGGTAAAGTGCTCCTGGGTTCAACACTCAGTACCGCAAAACAAACAAAAAAGGGCAAAGAAAAGGAAGTTTTTAGAGAATAGGGGTCCCTCCATCCATCCGTCATCTAAACTTCTAAAACAACTTGCGTACCTGTACCAGGTGCTCTGCTCTTATGTTACCAGGAAGTAGTTTTGTGCCATAAAGGATTTTGTCCTTAGTGTGTACTATTAATTATTAAAGAAATGTTTGTTAATCTTGTCAGATAAGCTTAATGCTTAGTTTGAAGACTGAAAAACTAAATTGTTTGTCCCTTGACTTTGCACAATGTTGCTTAGGCATTTAGTTTAAAGGGGGAAAAAAAGAAAGAAAGTAACAAAGAGGAAACAGTGGGATTTTGTTTTGCTTTCATGACTGTTTCAATGCTTAGACCTGCAACATGCTTCCTATTTGTGACAGCTACACAGCTTCCCTATCTTCCAGTTTAGGAAAATAGGTTGTTATACTAATTACTAATCCAGGGAGGAAGAGAGAGTGAGATGCAAAATGGAAGGTGAAATACAGGGGATGACAGATGGAAACCGGAAGGGGGAGAGCAGGAATACAAAGGTTGCTTCCTGGAGGAGGAGAACCAGATCTGGCCTTGGAAGAGGTCAGTTCAGGAGCAGGGAGAGTGGAGGGAGGGCATTTCTGGTGGGAGGCAGCCAGGTGGGGCAGAAGCTACACTGGGCCAGACCTCTGTAGGCTCCCTTTCCCACCCCCTTTTCCCCTCAATAAGGGTTGGGATCCTGCGGCAGCCTTGTGTCGCTGGACTCTGGGGAGGCCGAACCTACTGCAGTTCTGGACCTTGCCCAGGAATTTCCATTGAAAGGTGAAGACAGGCCAAAGCACAAGCAGGCTGGCTCAGCTCATCCCTAGAGAAACCTGTGCTTCCATCTCTTCCTGAGAACCACCTGTCACCACAAATATGTGAGTAGGAATAAGGTCCTGTCCTCTCTGTGCAGCTGTATCTGTGTGTGTGCTGGAATCAGGGCTTCTAAGGCTGTGTGTTTGTGTGTGTGTGCATACGTACTCAATGTGTGTCCCTGCTTGTTTGTATGTATGTCTGGGTGTGTTATCTTAACCAGTCTGCTGTTGGGATAGAGTACGGTAATCCCCAAAGGGAAAAAAGGAGGAGGAATGAGAATAGGGAGACAGGGTCGTACTTAGGACTTTATTTACAGATGAGCTGAAGCCTATGAATTGAGCTTCAGCAAAAAAGGAACTATAGACTGAGTGTAGTGGCTCACTCCTAGTAACTCCAGAGGTTGAAGCAGGAGGATTGCAAGTTTGAGGCCAGCCTCAATAATTCAGCTAGACCCTGTTTCAAAATAAAAATATAAAAATGACTGGGGATATAACTCAATGGTAGAGCACCCCTGGGTTCAATCCCCAATGTTGGGGGAAAAAAATAAAAGGAACTATTGGCTCTTGGCATGAAAAAGTCCAGGGGTAGTTATCTAGGGACCAGATTGTTGTCTTCAGGATATTGTGTCTCCATTTTTCAAGTGTGGAAAAGTATAATACAATAAGCATATCACTACTTTTTTCCCTTGAAATATTGCATTAAAGAGAAGGATATGCTCTTCAGTAGAGAATCAGAGGGCGCTGGGGCCGAGTGCAGGCAGGCAGCGTAGAGTTGAACCATCCAAGCCCTGCCAGAGCATGAGGAGATCTTTTATATTGCACAGTAAGTCCTCCAACAGTCATAATTTTTCCATGAAGAAGATTAAACCTTAAACACCTGCTTCAAAAAACCAAAACAAAACTACCTCCCTGCCCCCATCCCAGGGAGGGGGGGAGTGGAGAAAAAGAAAAAAGGAAAGAAAGAGAAAGGAGAAAAGGAGGAAACAAAGAACCTCTAATCCTAAGGGCTTTCAAATGAGAGGCATGGCCTTTTCTCTATTTTCTATATTTATATGAAAATAATTCATGCTTCATGCTAAATACATTATTTACCTTATAAGAACGTTGTTGTTTTTAAATTTAAAAAGTTTGTTTAATGATTGATTTTTTCTTTGAAGGAATCCATGCATTATGGATCAGAAATATCTGCTGGCTATACTGGCTAAATGTGGAAGTCAGATTTTTTGCAAAGATGAATTTTTTTGATACAAGGGATTGAATTCAGGGGCACTCAACCACTGAGCCACATCCCCAGCCCTATTTTGCATTTTATTTAGAGATAGAGTCTCACTGAGTCGCTTAGTGCCTCACTTTTGCTAAGGCTAGCTTTGACTTGCAATCCTCCTGCCTCAGCCTCCCGAGCCATTAGGATTACAGTCATGCACCACCGCACCTGGCACAAAGATGGATCTTGACTGACATTAATTGCAGATTCTTTTTTGAGGGCAGTATAGGAGTTATTTTTTTACCATGGTTTATTTTTTGTGTGTCCATCAACATGTGAGCATATCACTTAATGGCAAGTGATTTTAACCTGTTGTGTGGAGTGAGGCAAGCCAGGGCCTCTCTTCAGAAAAATGCCTGTATCAGATACATACTTATTTCCTTCCTTTCCTTCCCCATGAAATGGGCAGAATTTGTTGTTTTGGCCTGGAACTCCTGGAGCTTACAGGACAGGTTCAGAAGGGACTGTAAGAAGGGCCACCTCCTCCATGTGTTGGAGGGGCCCAGGCCGAGGTCCGAGGCACAATGAGGAGCCAGCTCTGGGATGGCTTATGCAACCCCCAAGCACCATGCTTCCAGGCTTCTGCTCCTGCCACCCTGCCCTCTTCCCCACTCCATCCTCTTCCCTTCCTCAACCCCCGCTCCTGGATCCTGCAGGCTCTCCCTTTAGCTTTTGGGCCCTCTCTGTCTTTGTCTTTCAGCTGGAAGATCTGGCCCATGGAGAAACAGACACCCAAACGAGGAGAGTTCATTTCTCTCAAACCTGCAACCCATGGCTTGGAGAACACGGAGGCTGAGTTCTTGAAGAGCCTGGTCTGTCCCCTTCCCCAGCCTCCTCAGTCTTTGGGTTTGAGTCCTAACCCACAGTGGGAGGGTCTATGCCCACCTTCTTACACATCCATCTTCTTTGGCCTCCTCAGCTATTTGCTTGCATAATTAAGGCAACTCTGATGAGCTGGAATCCCTGTATAACTCAGCCCCCTTTATTTCACTCATGAAACATTTATTGGGCACCTACTATGTGCCAATATAACCCATCCAAGTCTGAAAGGTCAGAGAAATTTCCAATGTGGAAGTAACATTTAAGCTCCAATCTGAAAGATGAGAAGAGAAACAAGATGATGGGGTGAGTCTCTGAGAAAGCCTCAGCCTTCCAGGAGCTCCCAATCTTCTCCTTCCTCTCCACTGGCCAAGTTGAGGATCACAACCTGGTCTTTGGAGCATAACATGGCACCCTTTCCTCTCCCAACCTTCTGTGACCAGACCCCTTCCCTATGCTGCCCTGTGCACCCCAGGAGGCAGCTTTCACAATGTCACCTTGCAAGAATGTCCCCCACCCAATAACTCCAAGGACTGTGGGGTAAATGGCATTCTTTAGACATACAATGAGGTAACCTTGCCTGGGACTTTCCTTAGAGGCTTCCTCTTGGCCCCCAACCAGTCAAAGTGTTCCTCCTTGATGCAGATTGCAAGCTCCCTGAAGGCAGAATATGTCTAACACAGAGCCCTGAACATAGTAGGTGCTCATGGTATGCTTTGCAGAATTTAATTAAGTAACCCTCTGATTATTTCTTGTGCAAAAGTCCCATTCTCACCTCAGTCTACTGATGAGGGCCTATGGGTACCTTGGGGTGGTCTGGGTCTCTCACCTCTCTGGGCCCCTCAGCTCTTCTATCTCTCAGGTGGGAAGGCTGGCCCTGATGTCTCCCTGATGGCTTTAGGAGGAAGGCCGGCTTCCTGGCAGTGACTCCAGCCCCATAGAGCACGAGGGCAGCTGGAGCAAAGCTGACCCGAAGTCCTTCTCTAGATGGTAGGTGATCTCTGTGAGGATTATAGACTAGTCAGGGAAATAGGATGGGGACCCTGGCCTCCTGGCACATGTGGGAGCTGGATACCTTTGTTGAAGGAGGAACCAAGGCACTTCAGCCATTTCTCGCACCTAGATGAGCCATGCTGTCCTCTCCCTCAGAGGTAAGCCAGGCCACAGGCCCTACCTGCTCATAAGCAGCCAGAAACCCCAACATGTACAGTGGGCTGCTCTGGTGGAAGTTGGGGAGGAGGCCCTGAACCATTCAGGGCTTCCCCTTTAACCTCCCCCATCCCCCTTATACCTGGTTCTGCCTCTGAGGGAACTTAAGGGGAAAGCTGAAGCTCAGTTTAAAACTCTTGACTGACCCAGGTTCACATTTTATATGGAGGGAAAAGGACCAGCCAGAGTGTCCTCGGTGGCAGGATCCTGAACTGAGCACAGAATGAAGGATCTGGAGTGGCAATGGGGGAGGGATCCATCTATTGTCTGGATGGAGGGACTCAGGAAGATGCCTCACTTACCCTCCAGAGAGGGGACAGGAGGATAAAATTGCTCCTGGTGGTTGAATTCCATGAGCACTGCGTGCACATCTACTAGAGGTACCTATCGTTCCTCCAGGGACAAACAGACGACCAAATGACCAGGTAAGAATTAGTGTTTGGACTGGGTCTGAAGGTAGTCACAGTTGGGCAGGGGCCAGGCTGCCTCCCTCTGGAATAAGTAGTGCTACACTCCCTCCCTCTGGAATAGGTAGTGCTGACTTAGATGATGAGTGTCCTGATCCAAAGGGAGCAAATGAAGAACAGGAAGCTAATGTATCTTGCTCCATGGACAGGTGGAAATCAGGGATGTGAAGGCCGTCATCTTTGTATATTTCTGTATGTTGATAAGGTTCTTCCCTATCAATTCCCTCAGCTTGGAAACAGGGTTTATTCCTGGGGTAATGGGGCCTGCTGGAACTGCTCCAGTCCAAAGGCCCAACTTGTGTAGACCTAGAGGCAGGCAGGTCTGAACCATGGCTCAGTTTATTCTGGGCTGGGGTTGCCTGGCAACCCTGTGGAATGTCAAGGCCAGAGCCTGGCTTGCCCTCTTTCACCATTGTACTAGGAACATATTTGAGTGGTTTCTACCTGAAGGTGTTGAGGATCCATACTGGGATTACTTTTATGGGAGTAAAAGGTCCACTCATGAACACTGTTGGTCCTCTCCCCAGGAGGAGCCTGCAGCCAGTCCTGAGAGCACGAAGCTTCTACAGGAAGCATGCACAGTTGTTCCGATGGATCTATATAGGCCTGTTCTGTACTGGTGAGCTGGGGACAAAGCCCTACCCAGAAATCACTGCCTTCCCAGCCTCAGGACAGGGTCATTCACTTTACCAATCAGTCAACAAATGTTTGCTGAGCACCAACTCAGGGCCAGCTCCCAGGCTAGGAACTGAGGCACCAGTTAAACCAGACCAGATCTCATTCTGAAGTCACTCCCTCATCAGCTAGGAAGTGGCACCAATATGCCCACATGATTCAGTGAGCCATCTGGGAGCACAAGGAGGCATGGGGCGGGGAGAGTCAGGGAGGACTTTCAGGAGGAAGTGAACTTCAAGTCTCATGAGGGGTGAATAGGAGGTGAGGGAAGGACAATAAGGAGTGAGAGGAGTCACAGAGCAGAGATGAAAACCATCATGGTGTGGACTTTGATGAAGTCTAGTGTGGCTGGAGGATAGAGTTTATAAGGAATGCCAGTGCATGAGGTTGGAAGGCTAGGAAAGGGTCTGGAATTGGAAGTGGATTATGGGGGAGGATTCTCAGTGATTTTGATTTTACTCTCAAGAGAGCCATCAAAAGATTGAAAACACAGACATGTCCAGGTGGAATTCATACTCTGGGATCCTGGGGAGACAGAGGGAGAAGGAGACATTGAGGGCCATGATATGTTTGAGAATTAAGTGATGGAAGAGGGACAGGGCTAGATTTGAGAAATCCTAGAGAAGCAATGCCAGTGTAACTTGGGAGGTGACCAGATGTGCAGGATGAAGGAGACCTTGAATCAAGGTTGCCTTGGGTTTCTGCATGGGTGATGGGTGGATTATGGAGCTTCCTGCAGAGCTATAGAACACAGGTGGAAGAGACGGTCTTGCTAAGGAGGGAGGTGATTTGGACAGTCTATTGGAGGTAGCACCACCAGGTCATCCAGGGCAAGAGAAAGTTTCCCCTGGAGAAGTTACTTGGAGAATGAATTGAGAAGTGGGTCAAGGACAGAAGCCTGGGACCATCCACATGGAAGATCAATAACATCTCTGCAAAGGGTAAACAGAGCAAGGACAGAGTCAAGTCCATTAATTTAGGGGCAAAGAGGTGGTTGTGACTTAGAGCATAAGTGCAAAAACTAAATTGGAGTAAATGGGAGGTGAGGCAGTATAGACAGCAAGTATGGAAACTCTTTAGAGAAATTTTTATGAGAACAGAGAAGAAATATTAATGGTTAGGATTTGACAAAAGATCAATGATAGACATGTGTTTGTGATGGGAGACACTTGGAACATGTTTGTGAGCTGAAGTGGGGGCTTTGTAGAAAGAGGACATTCCCCAGAGAAGGTACCTGGGCCCAGGTGGAGGGACAGGTCTTTGTAGGCTAAGACTTATCTCTGTCAGGTTAGAAGTAAAGAGAGGAAGATGGGTGTGGATATAGAGACCATAATAGGTAGCTAGGGAGGGGAGAGGATAGTGAGAGAGGTGACAGAAATGGCCCTAGTTTCTTGAGGTACTTAAAAACAAGTTCATCTGCTGAGATGGGGTGGGTTCATGGTTTCTATATTAGTCAGTTTTCTGTTGCTATAATGAAATATCTGAAGCTAGATACTTTATAAAGGAAAGATTTATGTAGTTCATAGTTTTGGATGCTCATGGACATGGCACTAACATCAGCTAGAAAAGTTCATCACTTCTGAGGGCATATCCCCAATGACCTAATTATCTTCCATTAGGCTCCACCTCTTAAAGGTTACACTACCTCTCAAAATTACCACACATGAATCGAACTTCTAACACATGAACCCTTTAGAGGAAACACTCAAACCACATTCAAACCATAGAAGTTGCTCATAGTTTCCTTCAGAGATGGTGTCTAAGACTGTGAAGTCATTCTTTGGCAGGGTCTGAAATCAGGTCTCCTCTGCTTTCTATGCTATTAACTTTACTCAGATTCAGATATGCTTCCCTTGAAGGAGTGATTGCATAGACTCTAGTAGAGAAAGGACTAACATGGATGGCTTTATTGTCCCTGGTCTTAGAAGACTTTGCCTATCATTCTAGCCAAAGTCCAAGGGAGGTCTTTGATTGGTACAGCTTTGTTCATGTATCTCTCTCTCTCTCTCTCTCTATATATATATATGTTGTAGATGGACACGATACCTTTATTTTATTCACTTATTTTTTATGTGGTGCTGAGGATCAAACCCAGTACCTCCCAGGTGCTAGGCAAGTGCTCCACCCTGTCTTGGCCTTTCCAGACCCTTCCTTCCTCCCTGGCCTGCTACAGCCCACCTCTGAGGCACTAGCACCTAGGCAGATGGACCTAATTAGGGCCTAACATCCCCCCTGTGTGAGACATTTAACTTGTCTGGCCTGTTTCGTCACCATCTAAGTGGGCATCACCACAGCAATGACCTTGTATGATGGCATGAGAATTCATTGTGAAAATGTATATAAAGTGCTGATCTCAGCGCTTGGTGACCATGGCACCTCAACCTGTCCTCTTCCCCTTAACTTCCAGAGCCTACCTGCATCCCAGGCTGGGCTCTGAAGGGCTCTACCTGTGCCTCTAAATGCCACCCATACAACAGGAATCCCAGTCCACAAGCTTCTGTGTGGAAGGGAGCTTTATTTCTACAACTCGATTTATTTTCCGTTTTCATTTTATCATCCCGGGGAGTGGCAGGAACTTAATTTATGTCTATTTGGAAACTCCCTTCACCCCTTTCCCTGGCAGACCCCAGGAGGCCTTAGCCACGATCACTCCTCAGGTTTCTTCTGACCGGCCCACTTCTCCAGGTGGTCCTAAGTTCTCCATGCTGGCAGGGAGCCCTGGAGATGTCCCTTCCCCACCACAGGCCTGCCCTGGTTTCCCACCTCTCTTGTCTTCCTCACTTCCCCTACTTAGTGACTACAGAGTGTACATACTTACAAGCTTTCTGGGGCTCTACCTGACCCCATACCACGTAGTGATGCTCTCTGAAGTCTTAGTGTCTCCCTGGGGCTCCACCCTGGAAGCAAGGCACATGGCTCTTCTGCTTACTGTGCCACAAACCCACTGGGTGCTGGCCACCTTGCCAGGCTCAGGCCTCTCTGGGACCCATCAGTGTCTTTGCTCTGTTATTCTCTAACTAGTCTGATAGCAGAGGGGGCAGGGTGGGACCTATTTCCTCATGATGTTTCATTCCACATTTTTAATCCATGGCTCTAAGTCCTTTCCAATCCTTTAAGGCCATTTTTTTAATTAAATTTTTTTGTGTGTGTGTGTATTTATATTGGGGATTGATCCCAGGGATGCTCTCTACCACTGAGTTGCATCCCTTCCTTTTTATTTTTATTTTTATTTTGATACAGGGTCTTGCTAAGCCTGCTATCCTCCTGTCTCAGTCTCCCAAGAAGCTAGAATTACAGGAAGGTCCTACCACACCTGGCAAGGGCCCTTGATTTTGAAATTTGAAATCCCAAGGAGACACATTTCCCCTGTGGTCTCTGCTTGTTGAGGAACAAGCCCAGACTGGCTCAGCTGCTCACAGGAGAGAAAGGCAAAAGGTAAAAAAGGAAACTTCAGGAAGAAAATGGTCGTTGATTAATCATCAATGATTGATTATTTCATGGAGTCACTGATTCAGCTCCATCCTTCATGGGACATAGCATGGTTCTAGATGGTAGCAAGCGCTCCATTGATGCCCAGAGATTTATGCTGTCTTGTCTCACCTGCTCTATTTACATCTCCTCACATTTGGTTAGCACTTCACAGTTTACAAAGCCCATTCACACACATTCTACCAGCTAATTTGTAACAAAATCTGACATGGCAGGGATGAGTGTTCTCATTTCCAAATAAGGAAAGAGAAACCAGAGAGTCTGGGTGAATTTCCTGCCCTCTGTGCTTTGGATGGAGTGAGATGGAGCCAGCATGTGAGGCTGCAGGGCCTGGAAAGATGGTTGATCCTTTCTCTGTTCCATCCCCCAGCATTTGCTGCCTTCCTGCTCGTTGCCTGCCTCCTGGATTTCCGGAGGGCCCTGGCGCTGTTTGTCCTTGCCTGTGTGGTCTTTGTCTCCCTGGCCTGCAGGCTGCTGAAGAAGTTACTGGGGCCAAAACTGAGGAGGTGTGTGAAACTCCAGGGCCATCCCCGCCTCATCCTGTGGTTTAAGAGGTGAGTGAGCTGGCAGCCTGGGGCGGGCAGGAGGCAGCAGCCTCAGCCCTGGCCTACCGGGAGGGTTCCCATGTCAGAGACCACTCCCTACCCTGTTTGCCTTCTGGGCTTGGGGGCAGGAGTTGCGGGGTGGATTCAAAGGCAACAGCCATCTCTGTTGTGTTTTGCCAGTTCTCAGCCTCAGTTACAATAGGGACTGTGATGGCTGAGACAGGACTGGACTGTTTCTTAGGTTCCGAGAGCCCAGCCCATCCAAGCAGGGAGGGCCCTTCTCAGTGCCTCCCATAGGATCCCCTGGGGCAAGTGGGAGACATATGGCTGCCAGGGACCACCCCTGGAGTCTGGCTTAGCAGGCTAGATTGGGGTCCAGGTGCTAGTATTTTTAATTATCCCCCAGTCGATTCTGGTGTAGTCACTCATGTCCCTGGACACGTTTGGGGTGGGATCTCTTGATTCTGAAACAAGATTCCTTGGAGCTCTGGAAACAATGGAGACGCCATAATGTAGGTTAGGGAAGAGAACATCAAACCCCTGTCTTAGTCATTTTCTACTGCTATAACTGAATACTAGACTGGGTGGTTTATAAAGAATAGAAGTTTATTTTGGTCCTGGTTCTGGAGGCTGGGGAGTCCAAGAACAGGGTGCAGCATCTTAGCTTCTGGTGAGGCCTTGGGCTGCTTCAGCTCATAGCAGAAAGCAAGTGGGGTGCCTGCAGAGGAGACAAAGTAGAAGCAGCTGGATGTGGTGGCACAGGCCTGTAATTCCAGTGACTCTGGGGGCTGAGGCAGGAGGGTCGAGAGTTCAAAGCTAGCCTCAGCAATTTATCAAGGCCCTAAGCAACTCAATAAGAGCCGTCTCTAAATAAAATACAGAAAAAAGGGCTGGAGATGTGGTTCAGTGGTTAAGTACCCTGGTTTCAATCCCTGATTTAAAAAAAAGCAGCCTTGATTTAAAATGAATCACACTCACAGTGCTACCAGTAACTAATCCAGTCCTGTGAGAGCAAGAATTGATCCATGCCTGTAAGTATTACCCCATTCCTCATAGAAAAAACCTGATGACTTCTTAAAGACCCCACCGCCCAAACACTGCCACGGTGGCAGTTCATTTCATTATGAGTCGAGGTGGGAACAAACCATGTCCAAGTCATAGCATTTCATCCTGACTCCCTAAAATTCATGTCTTTCTCACATTAAAAAAATAAAATCATTCCATCCCGATAGTTCCCAAAGTCTTAACTTAATCCGACACCAACTCAAACTCTGAAGTCCAGTCTCATCTGAGACACAAGGCAAACTCCTTCCAGCTGTGGGGGAGCCTATAAATCAAGACCAATTATCTACTTCCAAAATTCAGTGGTTGGGATAGGCAAAGGGAAAACACTCAAAATCTCAAAAGGGAGAGAGAGGTAGAAAGAAAGGAACAACAGGTCCCAAGCTAGTCTGAAACCCAAGAAGGCAAGACCTTAACTCTTAAGATGTCAGAATAAGTTGGGGGCAGTGTCACACGCCTTAATTCCAATAGCTCAGGAGACTGAGGCAGGAGGATCGTGAGTTCAAAGCCAGCCTCAACAACTGAGCAAGACCCTATGTCTAAATAAAATATAACAAAGGGACGAAAATGTGGTTCAGTGGTTGAGCACCCACGGTTTCAATTAAAAAAAAAAAAAAAGCCAGAATAAGCCCGGGGTGGTGGCACATCCTTATCCCAGTGACTCAGGAGGTTAAGACTGGAGGATTGCAAATTCAAGATGTAGTTCAGTGGCAGAGCAAACCTAGGTTTAATCCCCAGTACTATTGACCAAAATTTAAATATATATATATTCCAGAATAAATTTTCACACTGTGTGCTTCCTTCCAGACACATTGGGTTAGCTGGGCCTCTAAAACCTTAGGCAACCTTGCCCTATGGCTTTGCTGAACTCAGTCCACATGGCTGCTCTCATGGTTGGATTTGCATGCAGCCTTCAGCTCTCCCAGGTTGGCATCACATGCCACACGTGTCTCTACTGTTCAGGGGTCTCAAAGGCAGTCTCACCCTCCTGTGCAGGTCTCAGCATGGTCCTCCAGACTCTTCATAGCATTCTTTGAAATCTAGGTGGAGGAAACCATACTTCCATAGCCCTTGTGTTCTGCATGTCTGCAGAAAACACCACATGGTGGAGGACGCTGCCCAGGCTTATTGCCTGTGCCCTCTGGAGTAGCAGCACATTGCAGAGCATCAAAGAAGAGAAGCTGTCAAGAGTGACAATTCCAGAGATCTGCAAAAGCCCCCTGAAATGACCAGTTGAATTCTGATCAGCAAATATATCTGAGGAAACTACTCCTAATAGTTTACTACTAGGAAACTACTTCCTGGGCTATATAGGAACTACCCACAAGGATGAGAGGGAACTGTGCTTGGAATCAGAGGGCCAGGAAGAGTGTCTACTCCTGACAGATTGTGGGCAAACCCACAATCCATAGGGCATTGTACAGAGTACTAAGAAGTGTCTTGGCTCACCTTTCCTCTGGGGCCCTGGGTACTATTTGGTGTGTGTGTGTGTGTGTGTGTGTGTGTGTGTAAGATGCTGAGGGTGATGGATTTCTCCCTCTCTCTTGCAGAGGTCTAGCCCTTGCTGCTGTCTTGGCCTTGGTCTTGTGGCTGGCTCTAGACACCTTCCAGAGGCCTGAGCAGCTGGTGTCCTTTGCAGGAACCTGCGTGTTCATCATCCTACTCTTTGCCTGCTCGAAACATCACAGTGCTGTGAGTGCTTAGCTGACAGCTGGGGCTGGAAGCCAGTGTGTTCTTTCTTTTGCCCCTTGGCTGGTGCTGGGAACTGGGTGGGAGCAGAGGCTCCTGTTGGGAGAACACCCAAGGCTCAGAGCCTGGGAATGACTGTACATCAGGATAGGCTTCCTATGAAGCAGGTGAGGGACATCCTGGAACTGGAGACCCCAAGTGAGTAGTCACCTCTCTTAGCAGAAGTCCTCAAGCTCCCCAAGGGGGGGCAAGGACACTGGATAGACAGATCTGCTGCATTTCTCCAAACCAAGAAGCCACTGGAGGCATTTCTTTCCTTGGTGACATGTCCTCAAGTTTGTAGTCTCAGAAATCATCCCCATTACCCTGGAAAACACAGAATCAGACTCCAGAGTCTATGTGAAGAACCAAAGGTTTCTTGGTATTATTAGTATAAAACAGTGCTCCTCCTCCTCTTTTCCTTCTCCTCCTCTGTACTGGGGATTGAACACAGGGTGCACTACCAGTGAGCTACACCTCCAGACCCTTTTATTTTTTATTTTGAGATGGGATCTCACTAAGTCTGACGCTAGCCTTGAACTCATGATCCTCCTGCCTCAGCCTCCCAAGTAGCTGGGATTATAGGTGTATACCACTGCACACAGCTTAAAAATGCTAATTTTCATAGTCAAAAACTGGGGTGAGATACCACAACCCTCTCATCTCTCTTGGTCATGGCCATTAATCAAGGGAGATGCCAGATGTTCAGGAGTGATGAGGGGATAGAGAAAAGACAGATACACATAGAGAGTAAAAGTTGTAGCCAGGTGGGCAGCCAAGCCCTGGTGAGGCTTGAGTGACTCTAGAACCAGCTCAGCAAGTTTATTATATAGGTTTCATCAAAAAGTTATCTGTGGAAAAGTTTCAGCAAACAGGCAATCTGAAGGATGCTGGACTGGTGAGACATTAGGGTCATCTTGTTTTGCTCAGAATTCACTATTCCTGGGAGTTGGTGCTGAACTCAAGGCTTCAACTGATAGAGCCAGAGCCATGAGCCTTCACAGTAGCCCTCCCTGGCCAGTGTTACCATAGCAACTGGGGCATCTTGACCTGCACTTCACACAGGCAGCTCCCAGCTCAGACACAGCCACGAGAGTCAGACAAGCCATAATTCAAATCACTGCTCTCCACCGTGAGGCTCAGCTATCTTCATTTCAACAAGGCCTCTGGATAATTCTGATGCATAACAAAGTGTTCATCTGCCTATTTGGGAGGTCCCTGCCTACGCACAGCTGGTTGGCCCTACTGGATTGGTCAGATGGACTTTCTCTTCCTCTGCCTCCTTTTTCTCTCTCCCATCCTCTGGAATCAGGACCCCTCTCTGCTTCATAGTGTTGTTACTACTTTCCCCAGGCTATAGCCAAGTTTCAGAGCTCAGGATTCGGTAAGGAGTCTTTAGGTGCTGAGAGAGAATAGCAACCCAAAGGAATACAGCTCTCCTGTACAGGGTGGGCCTCAAGGGAGTGGGGTTTGGGAATCCTGCCAATGGAGGACAGATGGAGAGGGTTCAGGCAGATGGAGGTTACACAATGAGCTGGGCAGGCCGATGTCCATGTCCTGAGGCCATGACTCAGAAACTAAATGCCTTGGCATGTTCAAAGCTGGGCTGGCTTCTCAAGGGTCCTTGATTGGAATCTTGAGCCACCCCTGCCCACTGCCCACCTCATGGCCGCTAAGAGCATGGCCTATTCTGAATCCTAGGGAGGGAGTGACTATTGGCAGCAGGCTTAGGGCTCTGGCCTCCAGGCAGGGCAAAGCTCCCATCACCCCCAGCAGTTCTGTGCTCTCCACCCTCACCCCTCATCCTGTTCTCTGTGGACCACCCAAGGAGCGAAGCTCACCAAGCCCTTTTTATTGGGTGGCAGGTTTCTTGGCGGACCGTGTCCTGGGGCCTTGGGCTACAGTTTGTACTCGGACTCTTTGTCATCAGAACAGAACCAGGATTTGTAGCATTCCAGTGGCTGGGTGATCAGATCCAGGTTTGTACATGGGGCCTGACTGTTGAGAGCACCTTGGGTCATCAGGGAATGGGGGAGAAGCCACTTGGTTGTGGGGGAAGGTGGGTGGGGAGGCCATAGAGATAGTTTGGGACTAGAGGGTAGGTATGGATTGGGGCCCAGGCCGGGTGGACTGCTGAGGGCCGGCAGGGCCAGGTACTGCTTCCCTCAAGCCAGGAACTCTGACCTGAGGGACAGAGCAGAGTCTGATATGGAAGAGAGTCCCTCAGAAGTGTGGCCTGCCAAGGTCACCTGTGACTCAGGACTTATAGTGTTAAAATTGCTTAAAAACAAAACCCTGCAAATGATTTGCTCTATGTGTGTATGTGTGTATGTTCTTAGAAATGTCTACTGAAATCATAATTTTTGTGTGTGTGGTACTGGGGATTGAGCCCAGGCCCTCACACATGAGAGGCAAGCATTCTACCACTGAGCTACATCCCCAGACCTCTTTTTTTTTTTTTTTTAAGACAGGGCCTCACTAAGTGGCCTCAAACTTGTGATCCTCCTACTTCAACCTCCCAAGTACCTGGGATTATAGCACCCGACTGAGGTTATAATATTTCATTTTTTTTCCTGTGGTAAAATACACATAAGACAAAATTTACCATTTTAACCATCATTAAGTTCATGCACATTGTTGAGCAACCATCATGATTTTACTTTTTTTCCCCCAGTGCTGGGGAATGAACCCCAGGCTTTTTGCATTCTAAGCAAATGCTCTACCACCGAGCTACACCCACAGCTCATAATTTACTGTTTCAAATATAAGTGATTGAGGACCCAAGTTTTGAACCTCTACTCACCCTCTTCTCACCAGCTCAAATGTCCACGTGCTCTGTGTGGGGTGGAGCCAGGATCATTCCTGGGGTCTGTGCCCACCTATTGGCTTTGCTGATGGCACCAGCCTAGGTATTATAGAAGAAAAGGCTAAGAGTTACTGCTCTGGTCATGTCCCCATTTTATTTTATTTTCTTGTGGTACTGGGGATTGAACCCAGGGGCAATATACCACTGAGCTACATCCCCAGTCCTTTTTATTTTTTATTTTGAAATAGAGTCTTGCTGAGTTGCCCACACTAGCCTCAAACTTGCAATCCTCCAGCCTCAGCCTTCCTAGTAGCATATCCTCAATTTATAGATGAGAACATTGACTCCTGGATAAGAGAAGTGACTTGTTCCTGCAGTCACAATGCCAGATCTCCTGCAGAAGTGAGTGTGGACTCCCACATTAAGGCTACGAGTCTGGGATGGAGACAGGACATGGAAACAGTATACCATTGGCTGTCAGGGGATGAAGCAGGCACAAAAGACACCCCCTTTAACAGCCTTCTTCAACACAGCTTAAGGTCTTGTTTCCTTATTATACCTTCTTTAATGTTTTTTAAAATATTTATTTTTTAGCTTTAGGTGGACACAATATCTTTATTTTTTATTTTTATGTGGTGCTGAGGATCAAACCCAGTGCCTCACGCATGCTAGGCAAGCGTGCTACTACTTGAACCATGTCCCCAGCCCTTCTTTAATGTTTTTACAACTCTCATATCAGGGTATTTAAATTTTAAAATTGACCAAAAAAGTATCTCTCCTGCAGAACATGCTCTGAAAGAACAATGATTGTCACTTTAGTGTCTGTTCCTAGGCAGTGCCCCACCCCTGACAGGGACGGGGCGGGTGGGGGGAGGTGTGTTTCAAGGGCAACCTGCCTGGGCCAGGGAGGGCCTGTGGCTTTGGCATCCCTCTCTCCCACCTGGACCAGGGCCAGGCCCCTGCTCACCCCAGCCTGGGACTCTGCCCACAGTTCCCTCTCTCCTTCCTTCCTAGACTCACCCCATGTTTTTCTTGTGTGTATGAGTGTACTTTTTTTTTTTGCCTTTCAGACCTTCCTGAGCTACACTGAGGCCGGCTCCAGCTTCGTGTTTGGGGAGACTCTGGTCAAGAATGTCTTTGCCTTTCAGGTCAGCCTCACTCTTGGTCTAAGGCAACTGCTGCCCAGGTCTCCAGCTAGTGGGGAGTCTGAGCCAGCTGGGTGGGGCGAGGCTGAGAGGAGAGGGCAAGGCCCCCAGCAGGGAGGGTTCTTGTGGGCACAGGCTGGTTCTTGGAAAGTTAATGAAGCTTTAGCTCCTGGGCCCTGGGAGGGGCCCAGCAGTGCATTAAATTTAGGAAAGTCAACTATTCTGTATGCTTTTCCCTAAAGAAGAATATATGACAGAATTGCTGGGAGGCTGATGACAAGAAGAGGAGGTGGGGAGCACGGGGATGGCTCCTGCTGAGACACTAGCCCCTAACATGCTGCAGGGACTCTGGGCCTATAAGGGACAGTTTCCAAAGACTCGAACAGTCTTCTCATGGTGCTCTTCCTTCAAGGTCCCTCACAACCCACCTCTCTGCCAGGAAGCTGTTCTTCTTAGTTCAGCAGCAAACTATAGCTCCCTCCTCCCCAGGCTTCTCTCCTTCCCACTCTCTTTTTCCAACAAAAATTTATCGTGCATCTACTGTTACACAATTTTTTTCCTGTACTAGGAATTAAACCCAGGGGTGCTCTACCACTGAGCCACATTTCTAGCCCTTTTTATTTTTTAACTTTGAGACAGGTCCGGCCAAGTTGCCCAGGCTGGCCTCAAACTTATATTCTTGCCTCAACCTTCCAAGTCTCTGGGATTGTAAGTATGCTGGCCACTGCGCCCAGCATACTGCCACACAAAATATTATAGAGGAAATTGAGATTGAATACACTGTTCTGTTTCAAAGCACTTAATTTCTAATAGTAGACACTGGCCTTGATTTAAAACAGGGCAGCCTGTGATGAGGATGCTACTGGTATGACCCACTTTGCTGTACTGAGTGGAAATATGGTTGTATTTCTTCAGTTACCTCTTCAATCCCCTAAATACCTTGTTTATTGAGGACTCTAGTATTGTCTTTTTCTACCTCACACCCAAATTTTCTAGAGACACCTAGATTCACTCCAGGCTTAAGCTCCATTTCTAAATGCCAGGCTGAGAGAGAGAGAAAGAGAGAGAGAGACAGACAGACAGACAGACCTGGGGCCCTGTTTACTTAGTACCTGGCTCCAGTTTTCTGCCACTAATGTCATAGTACCATGGAGGAAAATTGCTGCTGCCTACCTGGCATGTCCTGGACCACTGTCCCTCAGAGGGACTACACAGGCCCCTATGTGTAGGTCCCAGAGGTTTCTGCTTTTTATCATTACTCTGGCCACTTTTTCCAGAGCCTCCCAACTCCTATGGGAGTGTTGGATCCAGGAAGCTTCCAGCCTAAGGCTTGGACTTGGCCCTGGACTTCTGCACTGGTATTGAGCCTAGATCCCCCTTCCCAGTTCTGACCCTGACCTCTGGTGGGTCCCCCTTGGACCCTTGGTGTTTGTTGGGCTAGCAGACTGTCTGAGGAATCTCCAGCCCATCTAAGGAGTTTTAATCATGCCAGCCCTAAAAGGAAAGGGAGGGGACATTGCTTATCTTCTCAGGAGTCTTGTCTCCTGTACAGATTTTCCTGTCATGATTTCTGAGGTCAGTTCTGTATAAGATAGATATATGGGTCACCCCCCAGAAGTCCCCTAACACCACCCCCTTAAGGCAGTATAGGCTGCTCCCTTCTTATCTGCATAACCAAGAAGGAGGCCACCCAAGCTTGCAGGAAGAACAGTGAAGATCTGCTTCAGGGTGACTTCTTGTGGCTACAACACAGAAGCTCCAGCAGTTTCTCAGATTTCAAAACACACACACTCTGCAATTCCACCACCCAGGGCAGCTGGGTTCAGTGCTGTAAGAGAGGCGCAAAGAAAGTGCTTGGGGAGCCCCCTGTAGGGAGAGATTGTTGGTAACTAGGATCAGCAAGGAAAACTCCCTGAGGATGTGGCATTTGACATGGAGCTTCAGGACAGGGAGGACTGGGACATGTGGAGCTAGGAGCAGGAGGAAAAAATGGCTTGGACAAAAGCATGGAGGTGAGAATATGTTGGGATGTCCAGGGTACAGGGTTCAGTGTGAAAGCTGTTTTGAGGGAGCATATGTCAGCAAGTTTGGTCAAGCTATATCTTGAAGGGTCTTAAATGCCAGGCTGGGACATCTGGGTTTTGTCTCCAGTAAAGGTGGAGCCATTGGAGATTATTTTATTGGAGTTTTGGATGGTTAACATGTCAATAGTGGGTAGAAAGGATTATAGCCATGATGCTGCAGAGAGAAAGAGAGAGGGACTGAGGTAGGGAGTGGGGGGGAGGGAGGGAGGGAGAGAGAGAGAGAGAGAGAGAGAGAGAATGAATATGTATGCAAGCAAGGAGGTTGTTTCATAATCCAGGAGAAAAAGTCACCCAGGGGACACGGGATGGGGGACAGAGACAGCTGGGTGGAGCTCATTGCTTAGCTGTTGTGGTTGCATTTAGCTATTTAGGAAGAGGCTTGGATCTTACTCATCTTTGTGTCCTTGCCCAATCTTGAACCCTACAAAGCCCTACCAGCTACTCTGCTCCTTACTCAATGACTGAACTAAGTGATGATTCTCATGTGCCCTGGGAAGCCCTCCTGCACCTTCTGGGGAAGCTTTGCTCCATGTGTCCCCTGCTACTAGTTGTATTCCATACAGCCAACCTCTCCAAGCTGGGCCATCATTATCTTGTGGAAAGACCTTGAGTGGCTTTCCCTGTGCCTTTCCCTGTGCTTCAGTATCAGAGTTAAGATCTTTCTTCACCCATCCCAGAGGGAGCCAGCACTTCTCAGCCTTCTAGGGCCACGAGATACACAGAGGATTGGAAGTAAATTCAGAGCCATTATAAACCATTTTGTCCTCCTCTATGCTTGACGTCCTGGAGGACCAGAGAAGAAAAGCTTAGGGAAAAAGCAAAGGTTAAAGAAATCATAATAACAGTTCCCGCTTACAGAAAGGGAATTTCTGCCACTCATTTCACCCTTACAGCAAACCTTCAGGGAAAATACTATTACTCCCCTTTTACAGAGAAGGTTCAGAGTGACTTTTGCTCCTACAAGATCACAAAACTGGTGAGGGCTAGAGTCAAGATTGGAGCCCGGATCCAACACTCTTGCTTATTAGATTCAATGCCCTGATATCAGAGCTCTTTAGTTAATGGTAACAAAGGTTCCTTGACCTGAGGAACATTCATTGGTTCCTCCAATTTATAGGAAATAATATTCCTTAGGTCTACTGAGTTATAAGTGACAGAAACCCATTTGCAACTCACTCTAAAGGCAGGATTGGGAAGGGCTGCCTCTTATAAGGCTCACAAACTGAAAGGGCAAGGTAGAGCTGGTGAACGCCAGAACTCAGGGCCCAGTTTTGCCAAGATCTCTGTTTACCTGTGGATGTCAACCCTATTCTCTCATACAAGATATGCTCCTGGCCCCCATATGCTCATTCTCAAGGTGCAGCCCCCAGGATGGGGGCAACTCTTTTCTCCCAGCTCAAGTCCTAGGACAGATTCTTATTGGTCTGACTCAGATCATGTGACCACCCTTGGACCAATCACTAACCGCAGAGCCTTGAGATACTGCAGTTGGAGCAAAAGGGGTCTTGTGCTCACCCTTGAGGAAAGACAGGGCCAGAGCAGGACTCCATCACTGCACTTCCAATCAAGGGACATCTCCTTCCTCACACTATGAGTAGAAATCAGCAGGATCATGTTTCTCCTAAAAAGTACCCTTCATAGCAAAAAATGACCTTTTGAAAAACATATCCATGGTAGCAAAAGACTGAGATTTGATATTCAGTTAAGAGAGAAATAATAAGTGTGGTGGATTTATCTTTAACCAGGCTCAGTATTTTGCAGTTGAACATGAAGAATTTTCTGGACCCTGGGAGATGATAACCTCTAGATAAATTCCTGGCCAATGTATTGGCCAGTGGCATCCTTAGCAATGCTAAGCCAGATGAGAGAGGTCTTAAGACAAATGCTTTCTGGCTACAGAATTCTCTTTCCTACCACAATAACTAATCACAAAATCTCATTCACACACTCTATCCATCTCTTTCTCTCTTTCTCTCTCTCTCTCTCATACACAACACACACACACACACACAATATACATACACTTTTCACTCTTTGGACTTACCTTCAGGTGGGGATAGCTCTGTTGAGTGCCGAGTTGAATGGAAGACTCAGGAATTTTCCATCTGTTCTTGTGAATCATGTGGATCTAGTCCAAGGCCTATGGCAAACTTCAGCCTGGGGGAGTCCCTAAATTCACTCAGACTGTCAGAATCTAAGCTATTTCCTAGAGTGCCATGGTCCAGCAGATGTCTTCTCCAGAAAGGCGAGTCTTTTTGTGGGACTTCTGCCTTCAACCTACTCTGGGCCTAGAGTCTAGCACTGTCAACATGGCAGCCAGCTCTTGGCTAGATTAGCTTGATTAGTAATTCCACTTCCCTTCTAATGACTTTCCATCCATAATGCCACCCACCCCAGGCCCTGCATCCTTCTCATTCCTCACCAACCTAGGAACACACCCACTCATTCTCTCACTCTCCTGCGGCTTCTGAGACATGCTTCCATCTACTGAGCTTAGCAGTGCTGTTCAGTGCTCTCCCTGAGGAGCCCTTACGGTGAAGGAAGATGTTTCTGTCTCCTGAGAATTTTGTTGTGTTTGCCTGAGGCAGACTCCATAATCCCTAGTGTCAGAATGTACACATACACACACACAAAAGATAAAATAAGATATGGATTGAAAGGTGAATTTGTGATTAAGGGGTTGTGGGCAACCTTAGTGAGCATGGTTTTCAGAGGGAGGAGTGGGAAGTGAGCGGAGGCTGGAGCAGGACAGCTGAAAGGAGGGACATGGGACCATTGAGGCAAGAGAGCTCTATTGAGAATGTGGCATGAAGGCAGAGGACATGAGGGGGCCGTTTGGAAAGGTCATCCTGGACACAAACAGGAAATCAGGAGACATGTCCAGTGGACAGCAGTAACCCACTTTACCTGGACCTGGAG